GTGGGGGGCGAGGAGGGGAGGGGCGGCTTAATAACCTCTTCTATTTTCATCAAAAGATGATGATACAATTCATCCTGTTGATGGAAATATTCAACGAGCTCAAGTATGAAAGCATACTGAGGTAAAAAAAATACATTTTCATTATATGACAATTTATTATACAGACTCTCATTTTCACATTCCACTTATTCACTCTTGTTTTACATTGAGGATCATCTTATTTTCTTCAACCGATCAATAACTCATTAGATGTATTGAACAGAAAATTCTATTTAAGAATCAAAGTCTTGTTGGTGTTTGTATTTATGAAGAGAGCAATTACTACGCTTTCTGTATCTCTTGATCTGCAGTAAGCATAATCTGCAATGATCGGTTCACAACCAAACTTGTTACTAAATCACAGTCCAAGGCTTCAAGTACCTCTTTATTATCATTTAAGTTCACCAATAGAACGATGAATGACTGACGCACCCTTACAACATCCTCTTTATGTAATTAATTCAAATAACAAACTTTTTATTTTCTTTTATTTTGTCTCATTTACCATATAATCACATGGAAAAAATCACACAAAATAACTACAGAAAAAAGTATGAAAATAAAATGAGATATCGTTTGATTAGTTTAGAGAAATAAGAAGAAAAGACAAACACTTTTATGTATCTGAAAAGGCAAGCCAAGAAAATGAACATGAAAGAAAATTTTGCAAGTTCGTTTGAAGTATATAAATCTGTTGTTGTCCCATTATGAATATTTGCTTGCTGGCTTCCATCAGGCAATGCTGAATGTATTGGTTCACCATTATCATCTGTTTTCATGTGACTAACACCTTCTATAACAGAACGTGCTGCTATATTTGTATCATCATGTGTACCATCAAGTGAATCATCAAGAGAATTAGCAGCATGGGGTGTTGTAAATGATCCTGATGGAGAATCATAGAAACTTCCATATGATGTAGTTGTTATTATATTATTATCTTTTTCTTCAGGACTTGATTCACGTAAAACAATATGTGGTACTTGTGGATGAGGATAACGTTGAGAATTTATTTGCGGCTGATCGAATACAAGATCAGTCGTAGTTATACGATTTACTGTTAACTGTGTTGATAATATAGATACATTTTCACTATCAGCAGAGCCAGAGGGTTCACTAATAGGGTGAGTATAATCAGAAACACTAACACCTATTGAATGAGTTATTTGACATTCTAAAATTGAAATATTGATTAAAAACAAGAGTCTGTACATTCAAACTTACCTATTTGATGATCTCTCGTGGAATCTATGACTGAATTGTCACCGTCATCAGCTGATTGTAATAATGATGTTTGTTCTGTAGTTGTAACACCATAACTTTCTTCATCCGGTGCATAAGAAGTCAAAAATATCTTACATCGACATAGAGCACATGCATAGTCACTAGAAAATAGCGAAAGATTAGCGCACTTTACATGAAAAGCTAAAAGAAAACATATCGATTGGTAAGAAAAGAATATGTGATATCATAGTTAAGAAATCAACCATGACTACATGGGAATAGGTATAATCGATCATCAATACCAAATTCTTCTTGACAAATAGGGTACATTTCCCAGCGATAACCTGCAAAATATGTTATTCTTCTTACTTTCGAAACTTTTGATCTTACCTAGGTCAGTCGATACGGCTATCCGTATTGTCACCGTAACTTTACCGAATACGGCCGTTTAGGGTCAGAAATAGCACGTAAACGGCAGTATTTACTCGTAATCTCATTATGATATGACCCTGTTTCTGCGTCTGAAATTACGACCGTATACGGTCCGTTGATGCGTCGTAAAGTAACCGTAAATGGCCTTATACGAACCGTATCGTACGACCAGGGTAGTTCACGAGATGCAGCACGTATCTGTAAATAATTTGGATACACCTAAAATGAAATGTAATGAAAAAGTTCGGATTCAAATATAATCTTACATAATGAAAAAAAGCAAAAAATATTATTATCATACAAAAATAAACTAATGCTGTCATCACACCATGAACATCGAAGAATTCTTCATTTGTATTTCTTTTATGAATTCTATAAAAAAAAAAGAATTCAAGAAAAAAGCAAATGTAAATTAAATATATTTACCGCATCATTGATTTTCTTGATGGTCTATTGGTTATATATCCTGTAATAATTTATAATATACCAACAGGATTTATCTTGTCTGTGAACATCACTCTATGTATCAGAATAAAATGACATATAAAAAATTTAAATAGCTTACGATAATATAACAGTAGGTCGTCAATGAATAACCCCATGATAAGACCAGTTAACAACAATAGCATTGCTGACCAAAAATTTCGACTTTGATTAAATGTAGCAATACCAGCTATAATAAAATCTTGAATAATATGATGACTGTCGACATAAAAGCCTAATGTGTAAATCCATAACACATTAATAATATCAATAAATCGTGATTGAATGTCAGTCTGAATGCAAAAAATTTTATAAAAGAAGACTAGATATATTTCATTTATTTACTTACATATGCATGCTTTGCAGCTGCTGTCAAAAAGCCATTGGTTTCTATACATCTACAAAAAAGAAAGATTTGAGAAACATCTAAACACATTCTTATAATACAACATATGGTAGTAAGAGAAGAATGTGCTAAGCTTAGTGAATTTAAACGCCTAGTGCGATTATATTTTTCACTTGTCTTCTTTTATACTGACAAATATTCTTTCTTTCCTTCTTTTTCGATAATTCTATACTTATTTTTCTCTCTTGGAAAATATTCAAGTGATCCACAATCTATATGTACAAATACATTCTTCCTTACGTGTTTCTTCTCTTCTCTTTTCTCTTTGTCATTCTTTTTCAGCTATCATTTTAGAACACAACAGAGGATTTGGGTGCATCATGCATTTTATACAGTATTGGTCTTTCTTATTTAACAATATTTCGAAAAATGTTCATCATAAACGAACCAAGAAAACGTAGATCTTGAATCTTCGGAACCTGCTGGCTCTTAATAGCCCAGGTTGAAAAAGCACGAGCGTAAACGGTCGTATACAAACAAAATACGACGAATTACGATGGTCGTATACGATGCAATACGGTGCTATCCGGTAGTCGTAAACGACCGTTCCATACGACCATCGTAAACGACGCTCATATACGATCGTATATTTGCCGTGTTCAACGCTAAGTAACTTTCTTTGTATAAAAGAATTTTTTGAATAATTATGAGTTACGATCGTACAATGAACAGTAAATATTATTT